GTTGACCAGAGAGAAAAAAGGAAAGTGAGAAAGTAAGCTGCCAGGTCCGAGACTTGAACCATGGTCAGCCGTGTGGGAGTCTAGCTGCCTTAACCACCACACCACCTGCCGGCCCCTTCCCTAATTTTATTAAGGAGCGCTAAGAAAAGGAATTTAAACATCTAGGGTAAACTGAGTCGGTAGGTGCCAACATACTTAGGCAAGGTTTACTTATACGGATGTGCATGGGTTGTGGCTACATTGCTCCTATCTTTAAGTGACTGTGAGCATAATATTACCGCTATGGCCTCTGAGGGGTGGGTGGCAATTAGTGTGGGCTTACCTATATAGTAGGCCAGCAGGTGGCTTGGAGGTTAAGACACTGGGTCCCACATGGCGGACTGCAAAGTTGGAGTCCTGAACCCATGGCTTGAAAATCACAGCAGGTGCATCTGCGTGTATGCCCAAAATCCCAAGAGGAGAATGGAGGAGAAAGGATTTCAGCATGGCCACTTGTGGGATGGTGATTTCTCTCTCTGTCTCTCTCTCACTCTCTGGCTAGAGCACAAGCCCTATAGCAAAATGAAAAAAAAAAAGAAGTGCGAATATTTTGGGGGAGACAATGTGATTTTTCAGAGTATTAATATAATACGTAATGATTAAATAAGGGCAACTCCTTCACACATTTGTTACTACTTGTACTGAGACCTTGCCTCATTTTGAATGGGGAAACTATAGTACCCGAAGGTCAAGTGCTTTGTCCCAGACTACCAAATGAGTCACGAATAGGACTACAGATTGGTGCTGGAGCATTAACTTCTCCTAAGCCAGCCCCACAGACCTGTTCACATGACTCCTTGCTCACTTACTGGGGAAGTATTTATGCAGAGAGTAAGCTACTCCTTGGTGGAAGAAGCACAGATGTCTACATTTTCTTGAATTTAGTAAGTATCACACAGCTTATAAATTAATATTTTTTCTTTTTTTTTTGAGAGACAAATTTTTGCTATAGGGTGTGTGAGCTTGCCAGAGACAGAAAGGAAGAGAGAGACAGAGACAGAAAGCAAGAAATCACCCCCCAGGGGGATGTTGATAAATGAAGTTTAGCTTTATTTTTTTTAAATGGTCAGCAAAATTGTTCACATTTCAAGTGTACAAAATGACTTTAGGCACTACATCAATCATAAAATTTCACATTATATACCTAGGCATCAACATCTCCAAATATTATTTGTCGCACTTCCCTTTTTTATTTATTTAAAAACTTTATTCATTGTCCTTATTTTATTTTTATTTTTGAAGTTGACCAGAGAGAAAAAAGGAAAGTGAGAAAGTAAGCTGCCAGGTCCGAGACTTGAACCATGGTCAGCCGTGTGGGAGTCTAGCTGCCTTAACCACCACACCACCTGCCGGCCCCTTCCCTAATTTTATTAAGGAGCGCTAAGAAAAGGAATTTAAACATCTAGGGTAAACTGAGTCGGTAGGTGCCAACATACTTAGGCAAGGTTTACTTATACGGATGTGCATGGGTTGTGGCTACATTGCTCCTATCTTTAAGTGACTGTGAGCATAATATTACCGCTATGGCCTCTGAGGGGTGGGTGGCAATTAGTGTGGGCTTACCTATATAGTAGGCCAGCAGGTGGCTTGGAGGTTAAGACACTGGGTCCCACATGGCGGACTGCAAAGTTGGAGTCCTGAACCCATGGCTTGAAAATCACAGCAGGTGCATCTGCGTGTATGCCCAAAATCCCAAGAGGAGAATGGAGGAGAAAGGATTTCAGCATGGCCACTTGTGGGATGGTGATTTCTCTCTCTGTCTCTCTCTCACTCTCTGGCTAGAGCACAAGCCCTATAGCAAAATGAAAAAAAAAAAGAAGTGCGAATATTTTGGGGGAGACAATGTGATTTTTCAGAGTATTAATATAATACGTAATGATTAAATAAGGGCAACTCCTTCACACATTTGTTACTACTTGTACTGAGACCTTGCCTCATTTTGAATGGGGAAACTATAGTACCCGAAGGTCAAGTGCTTTGTCCCAGACTACCAAATGAGTCACGAATAGGACTACAGATTGGTGCTGGAGCATTAACTTCTCCTAAGCCAGCCCCACAGACCTGTTCACATGACTCCTTGCTCACTTACTGGGGAAGTATTTATGCAGAGAGTAAGCTACTCCTTGGTGGAAGAAGCACAGATGTCTACATTTTCTTGAATTTAGTAAGTATCACACAGCTTATAAATTAATATTTTTTCTTTTTTTTTTGAGAGACAAATTTTTGCTATAGGGTGTGTGAGCTTGCCAGAGACAGAAAGGAAGAGAGAGACAGAGACAGAAAGCAAGAAATCACCCCCCAGGGGGATGACCATGCTGCAATCCCTGCTCCTCCATTCTCCTCTCAGGATTTTGGGCAGGCACGCACACAAGCTCGGCATTATTATTTTTTTTTTTGGCTTGTTTGTTGGTTTGTTTTAATTTATTTAATTTTATTTATTCATTCATTTATTTTAATTTGACCAGAGAGAGATATGGAGTGGGGGAGAGTTAGAAAGCAAGCCACCAGGTCCAGGACTCGAACTGTGGTCACCCATGTGGGAGTGTCCAGCACCTTAACCACCATACCACCTGCTGCTTGCTCTCCTCTGGCATGAGTGTTAAGCCAACAGGTCTAGGACTCAAACTGTGGTCAGCCATGTAGGAGTCCAACAACATAACCATTACACCATCTGCTGGTCCCATAAATTGAAATTCTTTAATATACTAGTGTAACGAACTGTGAAAAAAAACTATTTACTTTTTCTTTTTTAAATGTAAAGCTTTTATTTATTTCTTCCATGAGCAAGAGTGTTAGTGAGCAATCTCCTCAGGGCATTGACACCAGGATCTTCAGTCACCACCTCCTGTCTCAGCTAGCCACAGATTCCTGGAAAGTGTGTGCCTGGCATACTTAGGAAAGCCTCTGGACACAAACCCAGAACTTTCTCTTGTGGGTCCGTCTTACAGAGAGCTGCTGTGCTACTGTCCAGCCCCAACCTTTTCTCATCATTTCTTTATTTTCATGTCTGTTCTTTTTTAAGAAGGAAGCTGGAGATTCATTTATTTATTTATTTTAGTTTTTGCCATAGGGCATGAGCACTGGCTGGAGAGAGAGAGAGAGAGAGAGATAAAGAGAGGGAGAAATCACCCACCAGGAAGCATGGCCCCACCATAATCCCTCCTCTTCTATTTTCCTCTCAGGAGTTTGGCCACGCATGCTCACGCACCCGGCATGTTTCGCAAGCCACTGCAGCCAGAACCAGAACTGGAACCCAGCAGTCAGCCACCGGCCATGCAGCTGTCTTAACCGCTATGTCACTGGCTGCCCCCTCATGTTTTTTCTTATACAAAGGCCAATTTTCAAAACAAGAAGCTTACCTGCTTTAACTGATTTGAACTGAATCCACAACATCTTAGAGCACGAGAAAGCCGTGGAGACCGATCAGGCTTACCTTGAGCATCAGCCGGGAAAGGCCTGGGTCTGACTCGCGGTCCTTGCTGCTTCTCTTTCAACACAATGCATCCTTACTGTCAAGGGAAAACCTCCTCCTTGTTTTGTTTTCCCTTGGAAAGCATTATCATGAGGGATTGTGCTTAGACATTTAATTATTTTTGAAAAAGTCTTTGTATCTTGAACTTTCCTATAAAGCTTTTTCACCCACTGCATTGACTGGTGCCCTTGGTAAATAGAGTTCAAAGGCTTGCTCTCTGCAGTAGTAGCCTTTTATGTGAGCTCAGAAGGAAACAAAAACAAAACACCCCAAAACAGGAGAGACCTCTAGAACAGGCAAGGGCTTTCTCCCTGCAGCAGCTCCCCTGAGGGCCCCTTTTCTCCTTAGCACAGGGCTTTTCCTGTGGTTTCTTCATTCACAAAGTGATCAATCATCAGATCAGGTGTGATTTGTATTGTCATCTCCCAGGGAAAATTCGGAGTGGTTTTAAAAGAAAGAATCCCAAAAGGAAAACTAACCTTGCCAGGGCTATTTCCCTCATAAAATAAATCTGTCCTGGACCTTGCCTTCAGAACAAAAAAATACACAGGAGGGCCCAGCGCGTCTTCAGGCTGAGCGGTTACAATCGTTAACATTTAGTTCTCAAAACAGTCTCTCCTTTTGTCTTTATGGTCAAGAACCATTAAAAAAAACAAAGCACATTTCCCCTCATTAACTAAAAGCCCGAGCAATGCATGGCATCGTGGGCACGCAGGAGCCAGAATGTCCCCACTCATAAAAATGATACAAACAATGGCTCGTGCCCAAGCCTTCACACTTGTTGTTCAGCGAAGTCTTGGCTGACAGAGGCAGGGTTGTAATTCCTCCAGTCGCTTGACTTCCATAGGGGCGAGGTATGGATCGCCACGACACTGCCTTACTGGTGAACTCTTTCAGGCTCAGCTTAAAGATTAACTTTTTCTCGAGTTTCCGCGACCGGGCGGGCGTGTGGCAGTGACTGGCGTGATTGGGAACTTGTGCGGGCCAAGAGCGCAGCGCGGCTGCTCTTTCAACAGGCGATCTGTTCCCCTGGCCGTGGCTCATTGCCATGCAAAGAGCCTGACATCAGAGCACCTTTTGTTGCTAAACGCTTTCTTTAGCCTCGAGGGAAGAGAGTCATGTGGAGCTGGAAGAGCTCATTTTGAACAGAGGGGTCCCCGCGGGTTCCTTCCCAGTTCCAGAGGCACCGCGGTCCCTCCCCGCAGGGCCCTGCCCGGACTTGCTGGAAGAAACCAGTCGCGTGCCTTCGTTCCTTGGTGTCTGTCCCAGGAAGGAAACGCTTTGGCCGTGGGTTTAATTGCTTCTGGGCCGAGCGCATTCCCCGCCGCGACACGCAGTGGTGCGGACTCTGCCTCCTGCACCCTGGTGGCGGTGCCGAGTTGGGTGGGAAAGTTTCTGGAGTTGTCAGTCGCGCTGCCCACGGCCACCTCGAGCCCAGGTGCGGGCGCCTGCGACGGGGCCCCCG